TGTTTTTATGTACAAATGACATCCTGTCTAAACATCAGTCAGGCTTCAGAAAGCAACACAGCACCATCACTGCCACAATGAAAGTGGTGAATGATGTGGCGAGTATAATAGATAATAAGTAGAGTTGTGCAGCTCTATTTGTTGACCTATCCAAAGCGTTTGATCCCGTCGATCATCGCATCTTAAAGCAGAGGCTACTCAGGCTGCAGCCACACAAGGACAAAAACGGCCGTTTGCGTTACTGTTTAGTGTCATATAGACCATTCGGCCACACGAGGACGACCGCATACGGCACTAAACGACTGAGGAAACGATAACGGGTCCCAAGGTGGATAGAACGGCATACGCAACGCTCTGGGGGGCCAAACAACTCCGTGTGTGCGCCCTATACGATCATTTTCTGATAATGATTGCGCAATAGCCCCGCCTCTCCCCACCTCTGCTGCTCACCTCCGCGTACCCCGCGCCATTGCTGATGTGTTTTGCCACCAACAACAACAACAACAATGGCGGATCGCAGAGTTGCTATCGTGCTCCGGACGCTACTGACCATGCTACAGTTCTTTGTGCAACATCTACAACAGACTTACACATCCGGGGGGGATCTTACTCGCTGCTTTTGTGGATATGTACTGCAGCTTCAGCGATCATTTTCTGATAATGATTGCGCAATAGCCCCGCCTCTCCCCACCTCTGCTGCTCACCCCCGCGTCAAAGTGAACTGCACACTGAATTCAGATTATTTATCTTTCTCTCGATATGGACATAAACGCGAGTGAAGTCTAATCTGACAGGACGGAGACACCTCTCAAACTACCTAGTTATACATATTGTAACGTTCCCAAGATGAGTCGGAGACAGGCTTGTAGTTATTAGGCTTTAATAACTAGTATTTGAAGACAGATGATAACAGGTCAAGTACACTTCGTGGGTTCTACCGCACACTAATTTATTTCCTAAACCAACCACAAAATATAGCACTGCCTACGTCACAACTCCCCGCCCTCCCCCGTCCGCTCCACCAACCACAGGCCCGCACCTCAGCCACCATCACGGTGCAGCTCTATGATTGGCAGAGAGACGGGGGATGCCTAAGTGACACCCTGAGTAGCCTATCAGGATCGCTACAATATGTTTATTTTTGCTGTCGGCCGGGTCACTCATTACTGGATCAGCTCTGCATGAGACAGACACTGACGCTGTCAGAAGAGAGGGAGGAAAAAGAGAGGCTCCGTGTATTTTTATTATTATATTATATAGAGTCATTATTCATTTGTTTTAAAGCTCAATAAATAACAAAGAAGACCTTTGACCGGCACTTTTATAATTTTGTCGGAAGATTTAAACTTTAATCCACGTTGACTGGCGAAAAACTCTGCCCGGTTCCCTCGGCCCCCACCGCGGAGAATAAACAGAAGGGCAACCATGACAACCATGCTTCTTCGCTGCTTTTGTGGAGGATGTTACAGCGCCACGTACAGGCTCCTGCATATGTACTGCAGCTTCTCCAGCGGTTGGAGCTAAACGGAGCGGTCTCGTGTGGGCAGACACTATCCAGATAACTATTGCGTGTGGACGGAAGCTTGTTTGCGATTGCGTTTGCGTTAATCCTATGCGTTTAGCCGTTTTCGTCAGTATTGGCTTATCCTGCCATGCAGTGGGTGGTTTGTGAACTACCTCTCTGAAAGGTCCCAATGTGTTCACTTTGATGGGCTGTCTTCTGAGTGGTTAAACATCACTAATGATTGTCTGACTTCTGAGGATATATAATTACACCATAATAAGGTTTTACCATCACAGTGCACTGAGATTTTTGACAAATTGTAAAGCACTTACGCATCACTGTGTAAACCAAGGCGGTTTTGCCATCACTAACTGTACGGAGGCTCAGTCACTGGTACATTTTCATTTACAAAGCCATGTTGGATAAAGTACCATCTTATATCTGCTCCATGATCTCTCGGCGAATTGAAAGTACTTATTGCCTGAGATCGCATGCTGTGGTTTTATTAAATGTGCCAAGTGCTAGGACTGTCTTAGGGTAGAAAGCTTTTAGATGTGCAGCTCCACTAACAAGGAACAGTCTGCAAAAATAATGGAAAATTACCAAGCTAGTACCACTACATGTTTTTAAAGCTCGGTTGGATGCTCCAAAATCAGATGCTGTTGGTACCTGTACTTGTGGTTAGATATGCAAATTGTAATCCCTGTACATTTTGCTGTATGATGTCCTTTTGTTGTTCTGTTGTTTATGTTTTTATGTCTTCTTGTGGAACCTACTGCTGCAGGTCTCCCTTGAAAAAGAGATCATTGATCTCAATGGGATTTTACCTGGATAAATAAAGGTTTTGAATTGAATGTCGAGCATTAACTGCAAATCACTCAAATGCATAAACTGGAGAATAATTATGTTACAAGTATTACAGAAAACATATCCAAGTGTAACACACATCCAGTATTAACCTTACCGTTTTTTACTAACAGTAACCAACTAATAATTTTCATAAAGTGCTTATTTATTCCAAACTCACAATATATATATATGTAATAAAACATAATGCACAATGGTACACATTACATTGCATTTAGCTGACGCTTTTATCCAAAGCGACTTACAATAAGTGCGTTCGACCAAGAAGACACAACCTTGAAGAAAACAGAATCATAAAGTACATCAGGTTTCATAGAGCCAAACATTTCAAGTGCTACTCAACTGGCTTTAGATAAGCCAGTCCTTTGTTAGTATATAAGTGCTCTGTTAGTATATAAGTGCTCTGTTAGTATATAAGTGCTATGTTAGTAATTCTATCGCTCGAAGTGGAGTCGAAAGAGATGAGTTTTCAGTCTGCGCCGGAAGATGTACAAGCTTTCTGCTGTCCTGATGTCAATGGGGAGCTCATTCCACCATCTTGGAACCAGGATAGCAAACCCACGTGTTTTTGCTGATGGGAACTTGGGTCCCCCTCGCAGCGAGGGTGCAGCGAGCCGTTTGGCTGATGCAGAGCAGAGTGCACGTGTTGGGGTGTACGGTTTAACCATGTCCTGGATGTAGGAAGGGCCAGATCCATTCACAGCATGGTACGCAAGTACCAGTGTCTTGAAGTGGATTCTAGCAGTTACTGGAAGCCAGTGAAGGGAGCGGAGGAGCGGAGTGGTGTGGGAACATTTAGGAAGGTTGAAGACCAGACGAGCCGCTGCATTCTGGATGAGCTGCAGAGGTCGGATGGCACATACAGGTAGACCAGCCAGGAGGGAGTTGCAGTAGTCTAGGCGTGAGATGACGAGAGCCTGGACACAGTATCCAAACTCTTTAGGCACTGGTCAGAGGCATTCATGTAAAGCAGTCAATTACGTAATGACCCCGAACACATCGTGTAATAATAATAATAATAATGCATTACATTTTTTATTAGAGCGCTTTTACAGGTGCTCAAAGCGCTTTACAAGTACACACTACACAAAGTAGACATGTAAGAGTCATTACTGCGGACATTACCCACAGGAGCAAATGCGGGTAGAGTGTCTTGCCCAAGGACACAACGGCCTGACGCAGTGGCGGCCGAGGCGGGATTCGAACTGGAGTTCACCAACGCCCCTTGATCTTGACCCCTTGTGTACCCCGAACACATCGTGTACCGACACCGGGAAGCCCAGAAGGAAGTGCCACAAACTGCAGTTCCTCTAGTGGCCGACAGGGGGTGGATGCAGAAAGGAACCATTTCCATAGACCCCCAACTTTACAGCAGAAATAAACATGTTTCTACCCCTGGATGCAATACAACGTATTCTGGATATAGTTAGATTCCACCTTCGTGTTAATGGAATAGGAAGTGCATGTTTTTACCGTGAGTACATTAGTAAGTAAAGTAAGTTTTGCCGTGAGTGAATGAAAGTATTATTTCTTCTTGAGGTCTGCAGTGAAGCGTGTACACATTTGCTGAATATGAAAACACTGTGTGCCCACTGTGCGACTGTCAAGGATAAACAACCTGTGGCCGCCGAGCCAGTCATGTGGAAGTCAGTTTTACACACATTCTGAGGCCGCCGTGCCTGTTTCTCTTTTCACTGCTAGTTTATACTTATGTTTAATTAGTGCATTAAAAAATAAAATCATTAATGAAGTTTCAGCTCAGACCCCACGCGTAAAGGTCCCATGTCATGCTTTTCCGGTTACTACCCGTCCCCTTGTGTTATGTAGCTTTTTCTGCACGTGAACGGTCTGCAGAGTCACAAACCCTCAAAGTGCACCCTGTAGGGAGTAAAACTCTAACACAGAGAAGACCTGTCTGTGCTGCCCCAGAACGCCTCGTTGGACATTTCTCTTTTTCCGTTGTTTACTTCTTGGGTATAGTGACGCAATGTAACGGCTCCGCGGATTAGTCCAAATGTACCAATCCGCGGAGCTGTTACGTTTGGATAAATCCGCGGAATTCCACACACACACACACACACACACACACACACACGGCGGGACGTTGCTCGCTGCTGCGAGGAGAGGGACAGTGTGAGCTGTCTCACTGGCGTGGGGTCGGTGAGACACCGCGGAACTCAGCCTGCAGCAACACACCCGCAGCCTGGCTGGGAGTTTGTGTGTGTGCTCAGGCTGAGTTCCACGGTGTCTCGCAGACGGTCACTGGGCTCAAAGGGAGGGGGGGGGGGGCAGGGGCTCCAACAAGCCGTTTAGGACAGAGAGCGAATACACATACTATACAGAGATGCTGGATGAGAAACCAATGTGAGTTTGGAACATTGAACAATGTAAATCTATTTTAGTAGACCTCAACAATGATCAGTAGAAATGGCCATGACACGGGACCTTTAATAAGTCTCCCCCTAGACCACCTACATTCCTCCAGGCCCACCCACACAATAGTTCCTGGCTAGGCCACCCTCCCAAGGACGTCAGAAAGGTCATTAAAAGATCAACGGAATATCTAACTGAAGTCTTGAGCTTTTATTTCGGCGCATATTGGACACAGAATGAAGAGCGGAGCAGCAGCCTCTGTACAGGTACACCATTTAATAGTTATTATAGACATTTTATATACATTTCAACAGTTGTATTCTGCTATGTGGTACAATCTTTCAAATCTGCTGTTTCATAGTTTGTAAATCAAAAAGAAAAATTACAAAACTCATCAAAACTCGCAAACCGATCTTTTTTTTTCCATTTTTCTGGAAGACTAGAAAAAATACTTTTATTGTATTAATCATGCATTACACAAACAAAACAAAAGTCTTTTAGTTACACAGTAAGTTGTAGCGTGGGTGAAAAGAAAAATAAAGATTTGTGATGGAGACGCTCGTGTTACAAATCCCTTCAGTTTAAAAAAAGTTAAATTAAAACCACAACGATGAAATAAAACTGGTCGGGATGTTTTCGGCCAATCAGGTGGCAGCTTTTTTGTTTGAAAACCGGCCCCAGGAGGCATCTGATTGGACCGTTACTCCTGGAGCTTAAACTGGTTCTTAATACCTCATGAGGACGAGACAAAAAAAAAAGATATAAATAACTTTCTTGTTGAAGCTGTGATGAAGAAAAGTCAACTAATCGACTTGAAGAGAGAACTCACACGTGATGTGAGGAAGAGGAGGAGGAGATGAGGAAGGTAAAGCCACAACATGAAGCTTCTCCTAACGTCAAGAAGAGTTACTGAGACCACCGAGATGTGGTGCGTTCAGGGACCAATTTGTACAAATGTGAGTGGTGCAGGAATAAAACGGCGGTAGCTAATAATAGTTTAGCGTTGAGCTGTTGACGTGACGTAGTTCCTGTAAGCACTTCACTTCTGGAGATTGCATTGACGCTTTAAAAAAAATCTTGAAGTGGTTTTAAAAGGTGGAGATTATCCTGCTGAACTAAGTGTGTGAGTATCTCAAATGTGTGTTTTCACCACAGATCTTATTTTCTGAAAAATCCTTTTTGTCGATGGAGCCCTTGTGATGCTTACTTCAGGGTCGGCCTACAAAAACACGTCATCCCTGCACCGCTCACTCCGCGTTAATAACCCGGTGTTTACAGGTTAGAAATTATGACGGAAATGTTTGGATGAATCTCCTTTCATAAATAAATTATAATCTTTGTGCGTGTGAACGAGACAAACACACAGAGCTCCTCTTCCTCCTCCTCACTTTCTAACACGACCTCCACGGAGAGGTGAGTGATGGCAGGACTGGACGGGAGAGAGGACCCAGAATCCTCCTTGGTGCCGTTAACGAGACGTTTATAAAAACGATTATAAAAACTAGATTTATTTTACACAAACAGAGAACGTAACTACAGTAACGCCAACTTTTGAATCCTGAAGTCATAGCTCCTTATGTGTCGGTGGTTCTTAACCGCAGGGCTCTGATTGGCTGAGGTGGAGGGGGCGTTTTAACCAATCCTGTGCTCCCATTGGAGACAGACGTCCAATCAGAGACGAACAGAAAATCTGATGATTTTAACCCGACATGGTCGTTATTTAGAAACAAACCTAACACATAATGTTTAGTTTCTTTATTTTGATATGTTTTAACTTCTTAAAAACACGGTAAAAAAGTCACAATCTGAAGCTCCAGATTTTAAGAATAAAAAACTTAAATACATCAAAACCATGACGGGTTAAAACATCAGATTTTCGGCTGCAGCTGGAGATGCTTTTAGGACACTTTCTGTGGTTTAGGTTCATTTTCCGTTTCCTTTTAGGCTCTGTTACTGGTGTCTAATTTGTCCCCAAGGTGGTTTCTGGATATTAACTTTGTAATTTGTTTACTGTGGTTTAATCCATGTAGTGTCATGGTGACTCTGCAGAGGGGGCGGGGCTTCAGAGGACAGGTGAGTGTCGACCTGCAGAGTTTAAACAACGTTTCCACAACGTTTCTGTGCTGAACGTCTCAGTCCCTTTAGGCAATCAGAGGGAGACCTAACAGCTGCACCTCTTAACTTAAAGTGTGTGTGTGATAATGCTTGTGTGTGTGTATGTGTGTGTGTGTTAATGCTTATGTGTGTGTGCTTAGTCAGTCGCCTCCAGTCTTTAATATATAATCTGTGCTCAGAGACCTGAACAGACCTGAATACTGTGTGTTTGTGAACAGACTAGCTTCTCTCTCTGTCTCCCACTGTCCTCTGCTTCTGCTTCTTCTCCTCTTCCTCCTCCTCCTCTTCCTCCTCGCCTAGACGTAGACCCTGGCGAGGGCGTCTGCTCCGGCGGAGGCGATGTAGGCTTTGGACGGGTGGAAGGCCACGTCGTAGATGGCCTCCTCGCTCTTCTTACGGTGAGCCGTGATCTCCTGAACGCACGTTTTACTGTCCAGGTTCCACAGACGCAGAGAGCAGTCGTGACCTGAGGAGAGGAGGAAGAGGAGGAGAACATACGTTATAAAGAAGGGGAAGAAGAGGAGAAGAAGGAGAAGTAGAAAAGAGGATGAAGAGAGAGGAAGTGGAGAGAAGTGAAAAGAGAGTTGACGAAGAGGAGGAGACATTTAGAGTTTGAACTATTGATGAATAAAAGCATAATTGTGTGTTTCTTACTTCCTGACATCAGGTAGATCCCGTTTGGATCCACAGCCAGACTGGTGACTGCGTCCAGGTGAGCCACCATGGCGTGGATCACCTTACCTGCACACAGAGAGAGAGAGAGAGAGAGAAGGGTTATTATCCAATATAGAAACACATGTTAAAGGTCCCATGTCATGCTTTTCCGGTTATCACCCGTCCCCCTTATGTTATGAAGGTTGTTCTGCATGTAAACGGTCTGCAGAGTCTCAAACCCTCAAAGTACACCCTGTAGCGAGTAAAACTAACACAGAGAAGACCTGTCTGTGCTGCCCCAGAACGCCTCGTTGGAGATTTCTCATTTTCCATTGTTTACTTCCTGGGTATCGCTACGTAGGGATACCCAGTAGCCACGCCCAGAGCTATGGTCGCACCCTCTGTCAGCCTTTCACGAAACAAAGCTTCCCAAACCTTTCAGGACTCATGCCGGATATGCTCCGCGTAGGGCACTGAAGAACGATGCTGTTCCTCCTTTGTTTGGACCAGCGGGAGATTCGGGTACACAACCTGTAAGTGTTCATTGTTGTTTGTGTATTTATGATGTTTAAAACAAACAAGGTATCCACCACGACTGTTTCAATGGGTAAACGTTTTTCGGGCTGCTAAGTTGGGATGGCGGAGAAATGCTCTCCGCAGACCCATTCTCACAGCGCTATAAACCTTTTTCTTTCTCAATATCAAGCCACACTTATTGTTTTTACTTCGGCTGTGAGTGTTTGTGTGCTCAGGATGAGTTTCGCTTGTTCTCGCTGTATCGCCGAGACGCCGACACGGAAAGCCTGTCTGCTCCTGCAGAAGCTCACACAGCTGTGAGGAGCTGCAGGCAGCAACGAGCCTCTCAGCCAATCAGAGCACAGTGGGCTCACAGGGAGGGGGGGCAGGGGCTCCAACAAGCCGTGTAGGACAGAGAGTGAATACACAGACTATACAGAGATGCTGTGAGAAACCAATGTGAGTTTGGAACATTGCACGGTATACACATCTATTCTAGTCGACCTCAACAATGGAATTATGATCAGTAGAAATGGCCATGACATGGGACCTTTAACTGCAGGGGGAGATTATCATCAGGACCTGAGATCCAGGTTCTTCCGAGCACGTGAATCATGTGAATCGTACGAGACTAAAGGGCCTCCTCCTGTCTGAAAACACAGAACGGACAAAGAGAGACGGACTGACCTGACTTGTTATCGTAGAATTTGATTTGCCGGTCTTCATGAGCGGTGATGGTGACCGGCAGCGTGGGATGACTCACCACCTTGTTGATATGATTCGACCCCGGGAGTGCTGAGGGGAGAGAGGGCAACAAATAACAATTAAAACACCCCTACAGATAACACACATACGATAATACTTTAATGGTCAGATCAAGTCACAACACATGAAAAACAAACAACAAACATTTAACCTAACAGCTCAATCAGTGAGAGAAGACATGCATTCGACCTGTTTGAATGTGTGTGTCACTTACTGCCGTCTCCCTGCCCCTTCAGCACCAGTGCACTCTGGGAGGTCTCCAGGTCGTACACCACTACGTCCCCGGTGTTAAACGACGCCACCATGTGGGCGGGGTCACAGCCGTTAAAGTCCACCGACGTGGGGACCCCGTGCTCTGGAAACACACAGATTTAAACATATTAATATCAAGTTGTTGTTTCTATGATCTCCGTACTTGTTCTTCCATCTTTGTTCCTGTTAGGAAAATGTCAACCTCAGGATCCATGTATTTGTGATCCAGACTTTTTCTCAAAATTCTGACTTTTTCCTCAAAAATCTGACTCTCAAAATCTAAAAATGCTGACCTTTCCTCAAAATTCGAAATTTTTCCCTAAAAAATCTGAATTTTGCTCAAAAATATCAAAGTTCTGACTTTTTCTCAAAATCCAGAATTTCTCTCAAAATGACTTTTTCCTCAAAATATCAAAAATAATGACTTTTTCTAAATACTTAAAAATGTTAATCACTGGTCCCCGGCTTGAGCTTCAATCTCAGGATCCATGTATTTGTGATCCTCTCCAGAGTAATCAGCAGTGAACCGCTTCAACACGTGTATTTCGGTGTATTCACGCCCGGCATTCATTTTGTTATTCAACAGTATTGTTGTTTTATAGTTATTTGTTAATGTAACCCAATTTGTGTTCTTTGAAATTGAAAAGGATATCGCATTGTGTTTGTTACTTTCGTTGCAGTTGTATGTCTTAAGTGTAATTTGGCTTGGCTTCCTATTTATGGACATGCTTTTATTTTGAAGGAGAGGTAGCGCTGTTGACAGGAAGTTGTTGTTGCTATGGAAACAACGTGACGGAGATTAACGGAGAAAAGTAATATCTACATATAAAGACGGAGAAAGTAAACGATAACGTTTATGGTTAAGTGTTAGCACCCCCCCGAAGAGGCACAAGCTCTTACGTTGATATTGGAGATTTCAATAAATTCAATTTGAAAAAAAAAAACGGGGAAAAAACAAACGAATAACGAAATTGAAACCCGAAGAGTACTCCAACGAACGAATATTCGGGTACAGCCCTAATCTCCATAGAGGCTGAATCATCATGTTAATCACATAGCTAGTAGGGATGTAACGATACCAAAAACTCACGGTACGATAATATCGTGATAAAAAGTCCATGGTACGATATTTATCGCGATATTGAAAAATAAAGAAAAGTGAATTTTTTATTTACTTGAATTAGTTTTCCTTTATTAAATAATAAATCTGATTTGTGCAGCATTTTAGTAGGATAGTAGTATTGTAAAGTGTCAACAATATAATAATCAGACCCTGCAATAGAATAAATCAAGTTTCACTTTAGTTTTTCAAGTAACTCAACTCTAACTCACTCACTCACTCACTCACTCAGCGTCATTCAAGGTTATCTTATAGGAATATGAGCATGTCCACATTTCCAGGTAGAAGCTGGGATGTTTGAGCGTTTACAAAATCCCCTGCTGTGGAAACAACTCTCTTGCTTGGTACTGATGTTGCTGGGCCAGAGAGATATGCTTTGGCCATGGGTGACAGCAGTGGGTAAAACTGTGCATTGTCTCTCCACCACTTCAAAAACAATACAGTTGTTGCCAAGAAGGTGAGGCTTATTGACAGATATAAACATACTGTTGGTACTTGTCTATGTCTCTACGTGTGTACATGTAGCTCTGTAAATACCATGTCCTTTTGTGTTATCTGTTGTTTTATGTTCATGTTGTAACCTACTTGCTGCCATGTTGGACAGGTCTCCCTTGAAAAAGAGATCGATTATCTCAATGGGACCATCTGGTTAAATAAAGGTTTTTTAAAAAAAAAAAAAAGGTTTTGTCAGTCTCACGACGGTATTGAGACTTTTATTTACCGCGATATTCGATATATCGTTGCATCCCTATCTTCTAGAGCAGTGCTTCTCAAACTATTTTCAGTAATGTACCTCCTTTGAAACATTTTCTCAGCCAAGTACCCCCTGACCGACCCCGAACATTTTTGATCGAAAAGGCCTATACAAATAATTACAATATAGTGATGTTCCCTCAGTGTGTGATGTATTAACTCCTTCATGCATGCATTACAACAAACTAAGGATATTTTCATTTTATGCATGGAAAAAAATAACATTTTTTTCAAACTGATTTTTCCAAGGAGTTTTTCAACTGAAGTAATATCTGTTTAACAAACCAATGAACACAATGATATATTATGCAAAACTATAAAATACAATACAGAAATTTGACATATATTTTATATAAAATTGTGTTTTCTATTTAACTTATTGTACTAAGATTATTTTTGTAATCATGCATGGTATTTTTTTAATTAACTTTTTTTCGTTTTTTTAATTCTCACGTACCCCCTGCAGTACCCGAACGTACCCCTAGGGATCCGCGTACCCCCATTTGAGAATCACTGTTCTAGGTAATCATACATCCTGTCATGTACACAGCTGCAGTTGGGATACCTTTGTTATCATGTCACTCATGTTGGAGGAGGACATTCAGGATTCTCCCAGCAGTTCCTCACCTTTGTTTGTGTTGAAAGTGCTGATGCAGGGGTTTTTCTCCGTGGGGTTCCACAGTTTCACCGTGCCGTCGGCCGAGCAGGACAGGAGGCGGTTCTTGATGCCGCTGTAAGCCAATCCCCACACAGCGTCCGTGTGATCCAACCACGACCCCGCCAAGACGCTGGGTTCTGATTGGACGAGGGGAAAAAAGAGTAGAGGACTCTATTAGTGTAGACTCTGGTAGGTACTGCTTATGTGTCAACTGTCGATTAAAGTCCTCCTGAATATAACCCATCTTTTATTTTATTTTTCTTATACCCGTGTTATTTACGTTCTCAGTGTTATTATTGATTTCTATACGTTTTGTTTTTTATATTTTCACGTTGAATTTCTTGGATTTGTGACCTTCTACATGTTGTGGCCCCTTGTTAAAGAAACTGTTCATCTAAATTGGAGTACTAATGGATGTAAAGGGGAATGTGGGAAAATAACTCAAAGAATAAGTGAAAAATAAAAACCCTCCAGACTAGGATTTTTTGTGTCTGTGTGTGTGTGTGTGTGTGTACCATAGGTATCGTAGGGGTCCACGTTAGAGCTGGGGATGTTCCACCACTGGATGGTGGAGTCGATGCCTCCACTGAAACACTGCTCACCACTGGAGGTCATCGCCAACGACAACACTGGACCACTGAAGAGAGACGGAGAGAAATATTATAACAACCCTGAAGTTTTACTAATCTACTTAATATTACTTTAGATTCCCTGCAGGAATGAGTCCTAAAACCTACAAATTAGTCAGCATTTCGCCCCTTCATCGCCTCAAAGTGAGACGTTTTTTTTAATAGTGTTTGAGACATCAAATACGTCAGGAAATACCCCACTGGTGAATTAATGAACATTGATTGCGAACTAGTGTCTAAATGAGACGACTAAACATCATCACGACCAACATTAGCCACCTTTAGCTTAGCGGTGGTGACGTGAAGTCATGTGACCGTGATGTAGTTCCTTTATAGCCCAACATTAGCCTCCTTTAGCTTAGCGGTGGTGACGTGAAGTCATGTGACCGTGCTGTAGTTCCTTTATAACCCGACATTAGCCACCTTTAGCTTAGCGGTGGTGACGTGAAGTCATGTGACCGTGCTGTAGTTCCTTTATAGCCCAACATTAGCCACCTTTAGCTTAGCGGTGGAGACGTGAAGTCATGTGACCGTGCTGTAGTTCCTTTATAGCCCAACATTAGCCGCCTTTAGCTTAGCGGTGGTGACGTGAAGTCATGTGACCGTGCTGTAGTTCCTTTATAGCCCAACATTAGCCACCTTTAGCTTAGCGGTGGTCACGTGAAGTCATGTGACCGTGCTGTAGTTCCTTTATAGCCCAACATTAGCCTCCTTTAGCTTAGCGGTGGTGACGTGAAGTCATGTGACCGTGCTGTAGTTCCTTTATAGCCCAACATTAGCCTCCTTTAGCTTAGCGGTGGTGACGTGAAGTCATGTGACCGTGCTGTAGTTCCTTTATAGTCTATCGTTATCCTTTTACTCCAAAAATCATAAAGTGGTGTTAATATGTGGAGATTATCGTGCGGAACAACGTGTGTGTGTTTGTGTGTGTGATACTTACACATGGGCTCTGAATGTATAGACGGGCTCAACGTCAAAAGAGGCACTTCTGTAAAGCAAAAAGACCTGAATTATTGAACACATCATCATCACACGGCCTCCCTCTTCATCACCTCTGTTACTAATGTTTAAAAGCTGTTTCTCCTGAGCTCTGTCACGATGTCCTGCGCTGCATTAATCCTGAGGCGAGGTGTTTGCAGGGATTATGAGCGTGACAGTGATGCGTCTGTGTTTGAAGTTTGGCTCTGGCTAATATCAGAGGCGCTGCAGTGAGCGGGAAATGAGATGCAAATACTGAAGGATCCGTCAGGTCTGAGGAAGAGGAGAGAATCCACGGAGAAATATACACGTATTCTTCTCTCTGTATGCACCACATATACCAAAGCAAATTCCTCGTATGTTTCAACCTACTTGGTAATAAAACCAATTCTGACAGGCACGGGGGGGGGGAGAGAAGAAGTCTCTAAATAAAGTTTGTTATTATTATTATTTTTAGTAGACTTACCTATATACACTTCTGTACTCTAGTTATATTCCTAAAACACTTAATGTAAAAATATTGTAGTGTTTTTATCGACCCAGCTATTCACTTTTGTTATTTGTTCTTCTGTGTGATATGTTCTCTTGCATGTACCAAAATAAAATAAATAATATTGAATTTAATTCCCATGGAACTAAAACTAAAATGAGGTAACAAGAACAGCTTCATTATACAATACAGCTTTATTTATAGAGCACTTTAAACCTCCAGACCAAAGTGCTGTACAGTCAAATAAACAAAACAGCTCAGCTCACACACCATAAAACAAGTACAAGTAAAAACTATAGACAATTTAAAAGCAATAAAAGCAACGCTCTAAAAGATGTTAATACACTAAGGAGAAGAGGTGGGTTTTAAGAAGCGATTTAAAAACAGGCAGTGTGGGAGGAGCCTGTCTGATGTGCAGGGGCAGATCGTTCCACAGTGTGGGAGGAGCCTGTCTGATGTGCAGGGGCAGATCGTTCCACAGTGTGGGAGGAGCCTGTCTGATGTGCAGGGGCAGATCGTTCCACAGTGTGGGAGGAGCCTGTCTGATGTGCAGGGGCAGATCGTTCCACAGTGTGGGAGGAGCCTGTCTGATGTGCAGTGGCAGATCGATCCACAGTGTGGGAGGAGCCTGTCTGATGTGCAGGGGCAGATCGTTCCACAGTGTGGGAGGAGCCTGTCTGATGTGCAGGGGCAGATCGTTCCACAGTGTGGGAGGAGCCTGTCTGATGTGCAGGGGCAGATCGTTCCACAGTGTGGGAGGAGCCTGTCTGATGTGCAGGGGCAGATCGATCCACAGTGTGGGAGGAGCCTGTCTGATGTGCAGGGGCAGATCGTTCCACAGTGTGGGAGGAGCCTGTCTGATGTGCAGGGGCAGATCGTTCCACAGTGTGGGAGGAGCCTGTCTGATGTGCAGGGGCAGATCGTTCCACAGTGTGGGAGGAGCCTGTCTGATGTGCAGGGGCAGATCGTTCCACAGTGTGGGAGGAGCCTGTCTGATGTGCAGGGGCAGATCGTTCCACAGTGTGGGAGGAGCCTGTCTGATGTGCAGGGGCAGATCGTTCCACACTGTGGGTGCCGTTACAGAGAAGCAACGGCACCCTCTGGTTCTGGGCACATTCAGGAGGATCAGCTGACCTGGGCGTTGGGCGTGTAGGGGTGGAGCAGCTCAGAAAGATATGGTGGGGTCATGCCATTTAGGGATTTAAAAGTCAATTTTGAAATAAATCCTAAAATGTATTGGCAGCCAGTGGAGCGAAGCCAAAATGGGGGAAATGTGGTCATATTTCCGTGTGCCAGTTAAAAGCCTTGCTGCGGCATTTTGTACCCGCTGCAGACGAGCGAGGGAGGACCCACTGACCCCCATGTAGAGAGAGTTACAGTAATCCAGCCGAGTGGGGACAAAGGCGTGGATTACTGTCTCAAACTGCTGTCTGGAGAGAAAAGGTTTTATTTTGGCAAGCGGCCTCAGGAACATGAACAAAAGTGCTTGTATTGGCAGATGATCCTGTGCCACTGTGAAATATTGAGGCCTAATTTAAACAATTACAAGTACTGCTAATCGATCTGGTTCTTTAACAGTGTTTTTAAGGGCGAAAACTAAACAAATGAGAAACAGAATTCACATTGATTCATTGTATGTATAGTGTGGATTATGGGCTGCTAGCACACATGACGTACCTGCAGTGGTGGTAGTAAGTAGATTTACTCAAGTACTGTACTTATACTGAGGTACTTAAGTATTTCCACTTTTGCTACTGTGTACTTCTACTCCACTACAGTTCAGAGGTACATGGTGTACTTGTACTCCACTACATGTATTTAATACCTTTAGTTGCTTCACAGATGTGGATGAATGATGTGAAATATAATCAAGTGTTGAATCAGACTTTAGTTCCACCTGGAGTAAATCCTCCAGCTACCCTGCAGAATACAAAGTACTTCAAACTAGCTGCACCTTTACCAGCTTTGAGAACACTTTCATGATCAATCATTATAAAACATATCATATATATTATTCTGAAATGGACCAATCTGCACAACGACTACTTTCACTGTCGCTACTTTCACTATATTTTGATGATAATACTTTCCTACTTTCACTTGAAGAACATTTTGAATGCAGGACTTTTACTGTAACAGAGTATTCCTACACTCTGGTACTTCTACTTTTACTCAAGTACATGATCTGAGTACTTCTACTTTTACTCAAGTACCAGATCTGAGTACTTCTACTTTTACTCAAGCACAAGATCTGAGTACTTCTACTTTTACTCAAGTACAAGATCTGAGTACTTCTACTTTTACTCAAGTACAAGATCTGAGTACTTCTACTTTTACTAAGTACAAGATCTGAGTACTTCTACTTTTACTTAAGTACTTGATACTTCTCCCACCTTACACGTAATTGGAGCAACAGAACTCCGAGTTAAGGAAGTTGAATACGATGCCTTTTGGCCAGCTGATGGAGAGATTGCTCGTGTTTCCGTGAAAATGCTTATGGCAAACGAGCATTGACCACATCGAGCTCTGTAGATTGTCACTTTTGAACGCTCTGTTTTCCACCTGCGGATCTCTGTGTGCACGGTGCTGCAGCGAGTCTGTGAGCGAGATGCCCCGCCCCCCACAGAGACGAGAGAGAGAGAGAAAGGGAGATCTCCGCAACGAACACGTGAGATGTCAAGGGAAATGTATGCCTCATTGTACTTTGTTGATTTGGGCATTACAGCTGAAAGGCTCGTCCACTTTTCTTTTAACTGCCGGTTGTGTTAAAAATGTGTCAATGTTATTTATTTTACGAGCAAACAATGTTTGTTTACAACTTCTTCCCAGGCTTCACTCGCCCCCCCTGCAATAATGTGAGACAGCTACGGATAAATCCCTTACTCACGGATCGAATATAATTAAATCAAAGAGGAAGTGGCAGAATGAGAGAAGCTTTAAGGCGTCACTTTACGAATTATTTGCATGACAAACAATAACATTCAGTGTGGTGTGAAGTTTACTCTTTGGTGCAAGATAATCAATAACTTAACCAAGGATCTAAGTAACTTCCTTTAAGAGGAAGAGGCACAATGAGAGAAGCTTTAAGGCCTCTGAAGTGGCCGATTATGCAAAACAGAGTGTTCAAAGGCCACTTAGTCTACGAGGCGAATTCGAGTATTGACTTGCGTGCATTTAAGAAATCCATTTCATTACCATATTCAAGTGCTTTATTAGAAAGTGCAATGGATCAGCTGGCGGCCCACTACCGACTTGCAACATTTGCACTGCATTTCAATTAAATAAACAAACAAATCCAACGTACGGATGTGTGCGGTCAAAAACTTTTTCCGACTTCCTCTCTAGACTTCCTGCTGTGTCACGCAGGCAGCGTCATTTATACCTGAGAACAGTGTTTCCGCCAGACCAGGGCTGAGAGGGCGGTCCACCCCGAGAGCGCATATCGATGCTTGAATAGAGCCGTCCCTTATACATACTATCGCTTCACGTTAGTGGGCCGGAGCATTTGGCCCAAACGGGCTCTTCATGGCTCCGGCGCTCGCAGTTCACGTGCGTGCTCCACTAGCACCCCCCCCTGCTCATCGCGTACGTTCCGTGTTGTCCCGTAGCAGGCACCGCCGATGTCTGGGAAACGATCTTCAATACTCCGAAAAGAATCCCACCAGACTCCTTTGCCCCTCCAACAGAGGGATGTCCTTGTTCTTTTTCCTTTTTCCTTTTCAAGCGCTAAAAACTCTCGATCTTCTCTCAAATTATTTATTTTTTTGGACGCCCTCGGCTCGAGTTCAGGGCGTTCAAATGACGGCAGGACGCCCCCCTGGCGGAAACGCTGCCTGCGCACGTGCACTACATTCTGCTTTCTATAAATAATAACAAAACATACATCTAGAGCAGCCCATCAGCTAAACAAAACACTACAAAAACAGTGTAATAATAATTCATAGTTATTCAGTTCATTTGAGTTAACTTAAAAGAATATTCAATTGGCTCACCAAAAGAGAATTCATTACTATAAAAGAATGTGCCTACACGGCTCTTACAGCCGTACTTTATGAATGATTTGCAAGACAAACAAAAACATTTCAGTGTGAAGTTTACTTTTTGGCAGGGACGGTCTTGGTGAGGTTCCACAGTTTGAGGGTGTGGTCCTCGGACACGGTGACCAGGCAGGGCTCCACGGGGTGGAAGGCCAGCGCCCGCACGCCGTCAAAGTGGCTCCGCAGCGTGTACTTCGGGTTCCACGTCTTCCTGAACGAGGACTCCTTATTGGACGGCAGCTAAAGGTCAATAACATGCATTAGATCAATTGATTATATTGATCAGTAGGCGTTTCCTGAACTTCAGAGTGTGTCTTACACTTTGGTGAAAACTCAAAAACACATTTGTACAGCTTTGCCTTTTAGGAAGCAAACTCCTGCTCTGCTTTTACTGGTATCTGTGTGATAGCAATGTTCTGTGAAATGTCTATGTGAAGCACTTTGGACTGCACTTATTGTATGAAAGGTGCTAAACAAATAAAGATTATTATTATATTACATCGTAGCTGTAGTCCGTCTCGTCGTTGGTGACGGTGAGGTCGGCGAGGTCGCCCAGCCCCAGCACGCTCTCCATCACGTCGTCGCCGCCCAACAGGAAGGACTTCCCCCCGCCGGGAGGGAACGGGAGAGGCTCCGCTGCACACAGAGAGAGAGAAACACTACATGAGAACACATTATAACAACATTTGATTTGTATAGCACACTTTAAAAACAACGTCATCTCAAGGTGCTTCACAATTCGATGAGAAGAAAAAAAAGTAGTTATCTAAGAAACATTCAATTGTTCTAAACAATAGAATCCTTTAACCCTGAGCCTGTTTTTCAGGTCTCAGGCTCGAAAATGACAAGCCCAAAACAAATGACTATAACTTCACTTCTAAAAGGGGTAAATTAATAATCTATTTTCTCAAAGCAAGGATAAACCTGTGAGCTGGATGTAGGAAAGTCAGAATCAATATAGAATGTTTTTATTTTAAAGTAAATTCAGACTGAACATAGTAAAAAAAATAATTCGGAATTATAGTGTCCGTCCAAAAAACTACAACATTACTTATAATGAAGAGCACAATCATTTAAATGCTTCTTGTGAGACTTGTGCTTTGTTTCGGTAAAAATGTTTCATATCTTCAGTTAGCTTAGTTTCTAACCGTTAAGTGAGTATGACACATTAATAGGTTTTTAAATATTAAGAAGCCCTGAGACACAGTTTCGTGAAGAAACACGCCGCAGGCCCCGGATTAGGGTCCTCTCAGGCTTAACAGGTTAATGACATACATAGTCATAGTGGGAAAGAATATTGTATATATTATACAAATAAATAAATAAACGTAAAGGGTGCAAATGAGCCCAGACTTCACTGATCATTTTAACTGATTCATTGTTCTTTTTACTGCATTTAAAGAGAGTGTTAAAATATCCCGTGTCTCTCACCCCACTCCGTCCCGTCTCCGGAGCTCCGAGCCTCTCCGGCTCCCTCTCCGTCCTCCGCCGTCACCAGGAAGTCAAACTCCTTCAGAGCCTCCTCCGTGTCGGCGTCGTCCTCCGAGGCCAAGCCCTCGTTCCCCACCTGCAGGAGGAGGAGGAGAGATACAGATATTAAAGAGGACAAAACAGGGAGAACAGGTGGAAGGCACCGATGGAGGATATATTCATCTTTGTTTTGTTTAAAGTAAATTTTGATTATCCAAAAAAGTGTTATACAAGTTAAAAGCATCATTATATATTTTTTTTATGTAATATTTATTGCACTTTTTCTAATTTCAACTTCTTGTGGTTTTTAATATGTACATATATATTTTTTTTAGGGCTGTCAACGCAATTTGTTTTTAATGCCACTAATTATTTTAACGCCACTAATTATTTTATGTCACATGTGTATTTGTCCTCGGCCCGCACGTAGTTTCAGAGCCCAAAGGCTTGACGTTGTTGTTGGTTGGATTCTAGCAAGAGATATGGATACAAAAAAAAGGTGTTTAAAACAGCAAGCCAAGCACACAGCTGATGCCGACAGCCCTGCTGCTGCCGCTCGCACGCCTGGACAACAACAGCGAAGCTAAATGGGGGGCTACAGCTTAACACTGTGGAGGGGGGCTACAGCTTAACAATGTGGAGGACGAGGGGCTGCGCTAGATAATTCGGATCGCATCCAACGTGTCGACTGCACATCACAGCGCAGTATTTTGACCCACAGTGGGAACTTCAGTCTCATGCTTTGACTGTTATGAAGACAGAGGAGCAGCTGGCTCAGTGCAAAGAAGGAGAGAGAGAGAGAGAGAGAGAGAGACAGAGAGAGAGAGAGAGAGAGAGAGAGCCCATGAGATGAGAAGAGAGAGAGAGATGAGAGATGAGAGAGAAGGATCGAGAGAGAGACGAGAGATGAGAGAGAGATGAGGAAGAGAGGAGAGAAGGAGAGAGAGAGAGAGGTTGTTGTGTTGAGAATATTCAGGAGAATATTTGTCATTGTTCAAATGATAATAAACAAACATTTGCATAAAGCATATTTGTCCACTCATGTTGATAAGAGTATTAAAGACTTGAATAATATTTCTTTAAGGTACATTTAGAACAGATACAAAATGTGCGATTAACTATTTGAATCGACTGACAGCCCTAATTTTTTTATCTTTATTTCACTAAACTCAGAGCGATAAAAATGGCATGAAACCCAATTTCACCCGGCATAAATAAAGTGATCTGATATAATGTGTTGTGTGTGTGAGTCTGTGTGCGCGCGTGTGTGTGTGTGTGAGTGAGTGTGTGTGTGTGTGTGAGTGTGTGTTAGGGCTGAACGATATACCGTGTCATGGCGATAACCGCGATATTCACACCGCAGGGACGTGCGGTTTTATTCATTTTTTTTTTTTTTAAATGCTAACGCACTTTAGCACAGAATTCAAAATAAAGATACCCTTATTACTTATCGAAACTGCACATACAATATATCCGATTAAAGCTGAGACTCCACAGAGACCATTTGGTACGGCCCTCGAGGTAATTTATAAACACACGCAAATAAGAAAAAAATTAAAGAAATCTAGACCGCAAAATAATTAAACAAGCGAGTGCCTGTTTTTCCTGGCAACGGTCATGGTCCTTGAACACAACACGACCCTAACGTGTCATCACGTGGTATATGTCTCGTCTGACAGGGGTGACGTTGAGCAGCAGAACGCCGCTCCGGGACTTCAAAAAATTGGAGTACCCATAAATCCGTACACATGCTGCAGTTTTTGCGTGGCTGTGTCTTTAGTTGAAAGCCCAGTGGCGATCTGTCATACTGATCATACAGTCAATAACTTTGTTGTTATTAGCATCTGGTTAGCTAGCTATGCTAACGAATATAAGAAGCTTTTTCTACAACCAGTGAGGTAAAGGCACATCTTTATATGATCATTATAGTTATCAAAAAACAAGAGAATTAAGTAAACGGGTATAAAATACTATATGACAGTAAAAAAAAGTTGTTATTAATAAACAAGAATACAGTTTGAAAGGAGAGTGATTTGTAAAATATCTATAAAAAAAAAAGTAAATCTGCTTACAGTTCTGTTTCAAATGGGTGTTGAGAGATGTTTCCAGATCTCTTCATTTTGCTCTCAAAGTGCACCAGATTGATGCTTTCAACTTCAATATTTAAAAATAAATCTTCCCGGGGGAGCATGCCCCCCTGGACCGCCCTAGAGGAGGTGAGGTTAGGTCCCCCCCCACTTAAATCATGTCCACATGGATAGGAAACTAAATACATTTGCACACATCTTGTGTCCATATCTTTCTGTTTGGTGGTCATGCCACAACCGTGCACGTGCATGCATGCACGAGTCATGGCAAGATATCTGGATTAAGAGGTTGCTTTTTCTTTGCAAAGCATGAAAGAAAGGCCAAATGAATGGGCTGTGATTTTTAAGCAGAGGTCAATCATTTGTGTGGCCCTCGGAGGATGTTGAAAAAATTGAAATGGCCCTTGAGTGGAAAAAGGTTCCCCACCCCTGATCTAAGCTATCCGATCTCGCAACAGGGGAAGCAAACACAGACATCACAACACGTACCTTTACGGAGCTTTTAGGGGAGATCGTCTCACCGTAGCTGTCAATCTGATCAAAAGACGTGTTCAATGGCATTAAAACGAGAAAAAACGCGGCTGAATCGGTTGATCCATAGGTTGATAATGTATCTGTGGCTTTGAAGCAATTGTTTATAATCCATAATTCCATTTTTATGTAAAAATCGGAGCACAAAAGTTAGCTGCTAATGGTAGCCACCAGAGTGTATGCAGCTTCCGGTTTTGGCTACGCGTCACTCTCACTCCTTATTTGGTAATGTGTGTGTTAGACTGCACTGAACTGCCACATAGCCAAGACCGGAAGCAGCAGCCACTCTGGTGGCTACCATTAGCAGCTAACTTTTGCTCTGCGATTTTTACATAAAAATGGAATTATGGATTATAAATGAAATAATTTTTTTATACAGAGAAGTTAAAAACCTATGGATTAACCGATTCAGCCGCGTTTTTTCTCGTTTTAGTGCCATTGAACACGTCTTTTGATCAGATTGACAGCTACGATGAGACGATCTCCCGTAAAAGCTACGTAAAGGTACGTGTTGTGATGTCTGTGTTTGCTTCCCCTGTCGCGAGTTCGGATCACTCAGTGATGATAGCTTTAATCGGATATCTTGTAAGTGCAGCTACGATAAGTAGTAATTTTATCTTGAGTTCTGTGCCAAAGTGCGTTAGCATTTTTCGCTCAGGGGTCATTTAGATGCTTCTTATGAGACTTGTGTTTTGTTTTGGTAAAAATGGTTTGTATCGTCAGTTAGCTGAGATTATTTCCGTTAATCTGGTATAACACATGAATAGGTTCTTAAATATTAAGATCTCCTGAGACACAGTGTCGTGAAAAAAAAAGTAAAGTACCCGCCGGGACCTTGGGGCTTAACAGGTTAAAAAAACCGCAATATATATCGCAGGGGAACAAAAAACCGCAATGTCCGTTTTTTTCAATATCGTGCAGCCCTAGTGTGTGTGTGTGAGTGAATGTGTGTGTGTGGTATATGTATACCTTGGTCTTGTGTTTCTTGGCTCTGTGATGTTTGTCTGTGCTGATATCGTCCATCAGGTCTCCCTCTTCGTCCTCGTCTTCGTCGCTGTCCTCTGCGTTCTCCAGGAAATTGAACGTCTCCAGAACGTCGCCTGGACTCCTGATCACAAAATACATAAAGGTGTAACCCCTGTGTGACCTATTAACTCCCAAATCTGTGTGTGTATGGCGTGTGTTTGTATGTGTGTCTGTCTGTGTATGTTTGAGGTGTGTGTGTGTATGTTTGAGGTGTGTGTGTGTGTGTGTGTGTATGGTGTATGTGTGTGTATGGTGTATGTGTGTGTATTTGTGTGTGTGGGTATGTGTGTGTATGTGTGTCTGTGTGTGTTTGAGGTGTGTATGTTTAAGGTGTGTGTGTGTATGGTGTGTATGTTTGAGGTGTGTGTGTCTGTCTGTGTATGTTTGAGGTGTGTGTATATGTGTTTGAGGTGTGTGTGTTTGAGGTGTGTGTGTTGAGGTGTGTAGGTGTGTGTGTGTGTGTGTGTGTGAGGTGTGTGTGTGTGTATGTCTGTCTATGTTTGAGGTATGTGTGTTTGTTTGAGGTGTGTGTGTGTGTGTGTTTGTTTGAGGTGTGTGTGTGTGTGTGTTTTTTTGAGGTGTGTGTGTTTGAGGTGTGTGTGTGTGTGTATGTCTGTCTGTGTTTGAGGTGTGTGTGTTTGTTTGAGGTGTCTGTCTGTGTGTGTTTGAGGTGTCTGTTTTGCGGCTTTCACACCAGCGCTTTTCCCTTTCTAGCTCCGAGCGGGAGATTTTCTGGTTCAGCTCCGGTTTCCCTTTTCTGCTCCCGCTCTGTTCACACCGCCCAGAGCTGCCGCTGCTGCGTCATGACGTCACCGTTTACGTGCCTGCTTCATAAAATCCAAACCGCGCAGAAATCCCTCACATCGACCACAACAACAACGACCGATTGTATTGAAGCGCTGTTCGCTTTGGTTATCCTCTTACGAAACGAAATGGAAGGCATCGGACGACTTTACTTGGAACTTTACAAACATCACATGCGAAATGCAAGACTTCTTTGTGGTCTTCAGCATCCACTTCAACGACGAATCTGCCCCTGCTCCCGCCTCGACGTAAGAGAGACGTAAGCGACGCCGCCTCTTAGCTCCGAAGCTCTTGCCTCTAGACCGACAATTTTTTGGAGCTGGAAGTGAACCGGATTCCGGAGCTAAGAGGCGGCGCCTCTGCGGTGTGAACAGGAAAAACCGGTACTTTTCAGGCTCCAGCTCCGAGCCGGAGCTGGAAACGCGTTGGTGTGAAAGGGGCATCTGTGTATGTTTGAGGTGTGTGTGTGTGTTTGAGGTGTGTATGTGTATGTTTGAGGTGTGTGTGTCTGTATGTGTATGTTTGAGGTGGGTATGTGTGTTTGAGGTGTGTGTATGTGTGTTTGTTTGAGGTGTGTATGTGTGTGTGTGTGTACCTCTTGCTGTCCTTGCGGCGCTCGGTTCCGTTGATGAGGTGCTGAAGGTTCTTGTTCTCCACGGATCCGTTCTGCTCGGAGCCCGACAGGCCGAGCAGAGAGCGGACCCTCTGCGTACGAACGTCCAGGATGGTGTCTGTGTATCCCACCTCCTGCAGGTACCTGGACGGACACACACACACACACACACACACACGTTCAAATGAAATAAACAACATGCATAGCAATACAATAAGCAGTATTTTATTCCGTTTTACCGTATTTAAATTGACTTTTTTGTATGCTATTTATATGCACACGTTTGATTCCTTTAACCTGCACCATTGTGTCACATTCCCCATTATCTTTCCCTATTTAATGACTTTCTTTATGTCTTACATTTATTGTATGATGCACTTTAGTAAGAGCCTTGGACTTAAAGATTTGATTGGCAACAACACTGTAGCTTTTGTGCACATGACAATAAAGCCTTTAATTTAGACTCATCATGCAAACACACACTCATCATGTGAGCTCTTCAGGAGAGTGAACACTGGGTCAACACACTCACTGTCTGAGTAGCTGCCTCCCTTGTTTCCAGGTGAGCTGACTGTTGGCAGGAACAGCAGAGACCTCGGACTCTTTGGTGTCTAAAAAAACAAACAAACACACAAACCATTAATCATTGGCTCCACTAAGCTGCAAACCATGCAGGAATACATCTTAGTTTCGTATGAAATGGTTCCTGTAACTTACCTGATTCAAAGCTTGGCATCTTCATCTCTCCTTGGTTTAACTCTGTGCCGTATTTTAACTTGTGGTACTTTGCTCTGAGGAGGAAACAAGCATTTCATCGTCAACCAATTCAAGATTTAAACAGTCTATAGTTCATTACATCTCAAAATGTTGCATACATGGATCTGCATTTTCTTCCAACTGGCAAAATATGACTGAAATTCAATCATGTAATAATGAATGTTAAGATACAATAAATGTGTGTGTGTGTGTGTGTGTGTGTGTGTGTGTGTGTGTGGCTTACCTTTCCTGTTTTAAAGCATATTCTAACATTTTTATTCTTCTAACCAGGTCGTTCTTCAGGTTCTCCTGACCTTTCCTCTCGCCTTGAAGGAACGCTATCCTCGCCTGCAGACACACACACACACACACACACAGAGAGAGAGAGACACACACACAGAGAGAGAGAGACACACAGAGAGACACACACACAGAGAGAGACACGGTTAATTAATGAGAGTCATCACACACTGATATGAGGGGCCGTACAGGCCGAAATTCATACTGGTCCTCTCACGCACATACATTCTCCTTTTACATACATATATTTTATAATATATGTATGTCTGAAGAGAATATATGTATGTGAGAGAAGAATGTATGTATGTGAGAGAGAAAGTATAGTGGAAACGGAAGGAGTATGGTTGAAACGGAAGGCAGGTCATTCTTGCGCTGTGATTGGCTCAGAAGGTCGAGCGGGGCGGGCTCATGTTCAGAACTTCTGATTCAAATCAACATGATGGAGGGAGAGGGTTAGGGTTAGATGACTCCGTGTATCTACGGACCACTTGTTTTTCTTTATTAAACAAGTACACGGAAGAGTGTCTGCGAGGCGTTTTTGCTTTTTACCTTACTAAATGGATACAAGCGGCCGAGATGGGTTTTCTCCGCAGGGTGGCTGGTGTCTCCCTTAGGGATAAGGTGAGAAGTTCGGTCATCAGGGAGGGACTCGGAGTTGAGCCGCTCCTCCTTCGCGTCGAAAGGAGCCAGTTGAGGTGGTTCGGGCACCTAGTTAGGATGCCACCTGGGCGCCTCCCTAGGGAGGTGTTCCAGGCACGTCCAGCTGGGAAGAGACCAAGGGGTAGAGGACCAGGTGGAGGGATTATATCTCTTCGCTGGCCTGGGAGCGCCTTGGGATCCCCCAGTCAGAGCTGGTTGATGTCGCCAGGGAAAAGAAAGTTTGGGGCTCTCTGCTGGAACTGCTACCCCCGCGACCCGACCACGGATAAGCGGGAGAAGATGGATGGATGGATGGACCTTACTAAATGGTCTAATGGTCATTGTAGCGAGGGGGGGGGGGGGGGGGGGGGGGCGCGATACTCGCGGAAGTGATTTCAAAACAAAAGCACTCGTTTGCTTGGAACGTTGAACATAATTATAAACAAGGGGAAACAAGGTGAATTTAGCGATCACAACGAAAACGGCCAAAACACACATTGAGCCCAGAAAATGAATGTTATTAAGGCTGTAAATATAATAAGCATGTGTCTAAAATGGACAACATTGTTAGGAGATTTAAACTATACAGCGATTCTGCACTGCGGTCACTCAGCCGTCTCTCGCGTTTGTCTTTTCAAATCAGCTGCTCTTCATATTTTACAAATATTTTTTACTGAAAGTTCTTAATAAAACTGACAGTTGGACTCGAGGGGAGAAGAATAAATGGACAACATTGTTAGGAGATTTAAACTATACAGAGAGCCGTTTTTTCAAATCAGTAGCTCTTCATTTTCTTTTTACAAATATATTTTACCACAAGTTCTTCATAAAACTGACACTGTTGGACTCGGTACTAGTTTGACTGCTACTAACAATACATTGAAGTACTTTTACTGTGTACTTTGTGAGAAATACTCTGTCAAAGTCCCCTCCATATAGCACATAATCTAATGCATCAGTCCGTCCCAGGCGGGAGTTTATAAACCAAAGAGTAACCGCCCTTACGGCACGCTCTGATAAGTAAAGCGAACGCACCCGCAAGGACACCTGGCGAGGGATGTGACAGTTTCAGGGGTTGACAAAATGTTCCTTAAACCCCTAATGCTTGCTGCAATCTACGCGATTCATCTCCCTCCATCATGTTATGTTGATTTGAAATCAGAAGTTCTGAACATGAGCCCGCCCCGCTCGACCTTCTGAGCCAATCACAGCGCAAGAATGACCTGCCTTCCGTTTCAACCATACTCCTTCCGTTTCCACTATACTTTCTCTCTCACATACATACATTCTTCTCTCACATACATATATTGTCTTCACACATACATACATTCTTCTCTTGCATACATATATTCTCTTCAGACATGCATATTATAAAATATATGCATGTAAAAGGAGAATGTATGTATGTAAGAGTGAAAATATATGTATGTAAAAGGAGAATGTATGTGCGTGAGAGGACCAGTATGAATTATGGCCTGTACGGCCCCTCATACACTGACGTCAAGTTCAGAGGGCAAACGTTAAATCATGATTGGAGGTGAAATGTCAAATAGTGACATTAAATCTTTCTATGTAGCGGGGATACAAGTCCAACGGTTGGGAACTGAAGTTAGCGATGTGTGTGAAATACCAAGTGATATTGGTGAGGCTGTTGAGTCTTTATCAGCGTGTTTAGACCGTTCGTCAGTATTGAAGGTGATCCAGGCAATAGATGCTGCTAATGTAGTAATTAATGCTATGGACTGACTCAGCATGTGACGGAGCCCACGCACAATAAGGGGCACACTCTGGACTTAATTATCTCAAAGGGTCTGAATATCTCTAAGGTTGTGGTGACTGATGTTGCACTCTCTGACCATTCCTGTGTTTTCTTTGAAAGCTCTATTTCTGTTCAAAAAGAGGTAACCACAAAGCGATATTTAACTGAAAATACTAGGGAAATGTTTACTCAGAATTTCTCTTCCACACTTGCCCCTGCCAACATCTCAGTAAATGAGCTAGTAGATCATTTTAATTCAAAAATTAAAAATGTTATAGATGCCATTGCTCCAACTAAGGTAAAGGAAGTGTCTGGCAAGAAAATATCTCCATGGAGAAAGGCCATGAGCGTGAAAACAGAAAAAAGAGAATGTCGAAAAGCTGAACGCAGGTGGCGAAAAACAAATCTCCAGGTTCACTTTGAAATCTATAAAGAGAGACTTGGCCTTTATAATTTGGAATCGAAAAACGCACGACAATCGTTCTTCTCTGACATCATTACCAAAAACAAAAACAACGCACGTGCCTTGTTCACTACCGTCGACAGACTAACTAACCCCCCAGTGTCAGTAGCCTCTGAATTTTTATCCACCAGGGCGTGCAATGATTTTGCCTTTTTCACTGACAAAATTCAGAAAATCAGACAAGCAGTCAGTGCCTCTGCATCAGGAACAGCAAATGTGTTGTCCCTGTCTCCACTTAACATCAATTCAGACATCATGACACAATTCCATCAGATTAATGATAAAAACCTAGAGGACATTATTCAACTTCTGAAATCCTCCTCCTGCTGCCTTGATATTCTTCCAACAAGATATTTCAAAGATGTTTTGCCTTGCATGGCCTCAGATCTACTTCATATAGTAAACAAATCTCTTCACTCACGTATTTTTCCACAGGCCCTGAAAACTGCAGTCATTAAACCGCTCTTAAAAAAGCATAATCTAGATGCTTCAGTAATGAACAATTACAGGCCCATATCAAACCTCCCATTTCTAGGTAAAATCATTGAAAAAGTTGTTTTTCAACAGTTGAGTAATTTCTTGCATTTAAATAACTGTTTGGATGTGTTCCAGTCAGGCTTTCGTCCAAACCACAGCACTGAGACTGCTCTTGTAAAGGTCTTTAACCAGTTAAGCCCTGAGCCTGTTTTTCAGGTTTCAGGCTCGAAAATGCCACTAACACAACAAATGATATATCTTCACTTCTAAAAGGGGTAAATTAATAATTATTTTTCTCAAAGCAAGGTTACATCTGTGAGTTGGATGTAGAAGTGTCAGAATCAATATAGATGTTTTTATTTTAAAGTAAATTCAGATGGAACATAGTAAAAACATGTAAATTCTAATGTCCACCTAAAAAAAAACCTTTACTTATAGTGAAAACCACCCTTGCATGATGGGTTAGCAGACTAAAAGCTTTAGGAATCCAAACTATAACATATAATAAGTACCCTGTATCAAGATTGATGCAAAACAAGTGAAATTTGACCTTTTTAGAGAGATTTAGAAAAATAAAGTCTAAGCGGACTCACCTCTGGGTAATTTGGGAACCATCGGTTCCATTTGAACTTTTTCACTGTAAAAATCATTTTATTACTTTGAATTATCGCTATAGGTATTCATTCCATCCAAATACAACTGTTGTGAAAAATAAATAAAAAATAAAATAAAATAAAACATAGGCCTACTCTTACAGTGAGCCTCTGAATTACCCCCGAGCGAAACATGCTAACCTATTACAGCACCGAAAATCACTCCTCGCTCCCTTATTACTTATCCTAGCTGCACATCCAACACATTGTTTATGATCGCAAGGAGACACAGAATCTAACGGTGCCCACCTGAACAGCCCAACACTGAAAGATACAAACTCGCGACGTTATCAACAAAAACGTACATCAAAACAAATGGCGCTAGCGCTAATGCGCTAGGCTAACAATGACTTGCCTTCCTCGTTGTCTGGTCTAAACCAGTGCTTGAATTGGAATGAAAAAGGTGCCAGTACTCTAAAATCAGCAACTTTTTCAAGTCAATTTTATATATACAGCCCACAAACAAGAATTTGGCTACTATAATGCTGGTGGGTTTGTCTCTTTACTACTGTATATTTTAGAAAGGTTCACTGTACTTAACATTTTTTATGATAGGCAGCGGATATGGCTAAAGCTCAGTAAGGTCAATATTAACTGAAAATATAGCAATCAAAGTCTAGATCTTCTGCTGAAGATACATGAAGCAGAGACCTTTCAGGTGAGAGCCCCTCTGGTGGTGTTCAACATTAATGACAAGGAAACAAAGCTCTGGTCAGAAGCATTTTTTATAAAAAGCTTTAACAAAATTAAGTATTTCTGTACATTTTGAATGCAATCTAACTTTCCAACTCAGAAAACGAAAAACGAAAAAGTGCCAAAAGTCTTCTCACATGGCTGAGCTGCTTTGCAATATACTTCACCACTGAAGAATATAAATATGTATAAAGTAAACTATGATGCAATCTAACTTTCCAACTCAGAAAAATGATAAAGAGCATGAACAAAGAACATGTAAAAACAAATGCAAAATTTGCACAATCTAAAATGAGAAACTGTAACTGCAAGTAACAAAGTCTGAGCCATGGTAAAGAGTTACATTGAACACCAAGCTGATCAG